ATTATTCCTCCTTATTGTTCCCCGGTACAATACATTGTGGTTCCGGTTTCACCAATAAAAACCCTATAAAATTTCCTCAATTTTTCCTTGCTAAAACATGGAAGGATTTCACATTGGGAAGATGGATTTTCCTTGCCAGTAAGGAACTGAAGCTGGGCTTCAACGATGAAGGCATCTCGTAAGAACGTAACTAGGACGGCCGGAGCCAAGACCACACATGTGATATGAGCTTCTTAGTTACTAATTCTCTGTCAGCTAATTACAGGATCTCTATCCATGATTATGAAAACGACGCTGAAGTCAACGAAACGCGGATCAAGCAACGCGCTGGTGGACCTGTTCTCCAGCACTTACAAACTCAATGTCTAGCGTCTCTTCATTGCCTCAACCTAGGGCTGAGCAATGGGCGGGGTGGGCTAACCCGAAGGTTAGCCCATAGCCCGCCCATTTATTCATAAATGGGCATGGGCTAACCCATAACCCGGTAGTAGCCCATTTAACCCGTATTAAATGGGTTACGGGGCAGCCCGTTTGGGCTAACCGGGTTACGGGGTAACCCATTTATTTTTTTTAAATTTTTTTCAGTATAATTATTTTGTATATGTAATCTTATGAAGCTGTCAATAAATTTTGCATGCCAAATAGCAAATCAAATATGAAATAACATCAATCATATTCAATCACACGACCTCACTTAGATTCGCAAACAATCAAAGTCTGATAAAATCATAAAAGTAGTCACTAATCATAAAGTCTCATAAACTTTGAAAGTTCCAACTTTCACCTAAAGGATAAAATAAAAGCTTAGACAAGCATGAAGGTTTGATAAAAGATGAATGAAAAACAATATCATCAATTAAATGAAGAATAAAAATATTTTTAAAAAATTAAAACTTAAACGGGCGGGTATGGGCAGCCCAATACCTTGCCCATAGCCCAACCTGTTTAATGGGCTACCTAGCCCATTTAAACCCGCCCGTTTATAATCTCTTAGTTGGGTTAATTGGGCGGGCTTAAATGAGTAAAAATTTCATGGGTCATGGACGGGCTAGCGGGTAATGGGTTTGTTGCTCACCCCTACCTCAACCTCAGCTGCGGGGCGACGATACAGGGAATGGAAATCCTTTACCAGTGCTTCGGAGGCTCTGGTTCACCTCGGAGAAAACAACCTTCCACAACAGTAGAAGATCTATGCCATCGCTTTTCTCTCACGCAACTTCGAGAATCAACCGACGACTTTGACGGCAGCCGTTTTATCGGTGAGGGGCCCTACGGTGTGGCATACAGGGGTTGCATCTCCATCGACGGCCAACTCAAGGATATCGCAGTGAAGCGGCTCCGACAACCAGAATCATACGGGATCTCACTGTACAAGAACGAAATCATATTTATGTGCCAGCTACGACACCCGAATCTGTTGTCTCTTGTTGGGTTTTGCGATGATCGAAATGAAATGATTGTGGTCTATGACTACGCCCCCAACCGATCACTCTATCATCAGATCCACGGAATAGACAGCAATTCGCCCATAAAGCCGTGGAAGAAGAGGCTAGAAATTAGTATCGGAGTGGCGCGGGGATTACACTACCTTCACTCAGGAACCAAACGCACCGTCATTCATCGCCATATAACATCGGCTGCCATTCTTCTGGGCGAGAATTGGGTTCCCAAGCTCGGATATTTCGGGCTCTCTTTAAAAGGACCGAAGTTCTCAGCAAGGGATGCGAAGCCCATAAAGTTGGAATCCATTGAAGGTCCCTGGGTATACACGGCTCCTGAATGCTTACGCGCCACCAATGTCACGCATAAAAGTGACGTATATTCATTTGGAGTAGTTTTGTTAGAACTGGTTTGCGGAAAGACTTTATCCCAAATCAGTGAGCATGAGTGGCGTCAAGTTGAGAACACTGCAGATTTTTTCCAATTTACCATGAGCGTAGTTGAGAAAGTACGTGATTTGGCAGGAACAAGAAGAGCTGAGGGAATTATTGATGAGAGTTTGGTGGGAGAAATAGGAGGAGGGTGCTGGAAATTGTATATGGACATTACAGAGAGTTGTTTGAATGAAGATCCCAATGAGAGGCCTGATATGGGAGACATAGAAGTGCAGCTTGAACATCTATTGCAGCTACAAGAGGATTCAGATTCTAACAATATAATGATTCCTTGATTTAATTTCTCTTGTTGTAATGGACTACAGCCGCTGTTTAATACTACCTCTGCTATATTTAATATAAAAATTTGTTTGATTTTTATTTTGGTCTGAAATATAAGATCTCAATTTACTTTGTCTCTCAAATTTATCTTTTTTTTTCCCAATATAGTCTTTATAATAATGATAGTTTTAACTAATACATTTGATTAGCGAGAATATTTTAGAAAAATCTTTGAAAATAATGACTAATAAATAGGACTATAAGAGTGCATATTTTTGTTTTATAATTTATAGCCAGCAACTAATGGATCAATGGTATCAGTATTAAATATAAAAAGAACTTACTTAAATTAAATTCAAATAAATCAGGTTTGACATGGCTTTAAAAACAATTGATTTTTTGCTAAAGAAATTAGTTAAAGTGGTTTTTGAAAATTTCTGAGTTAACTTTCGACTCTTTTTAAAATTTGAAGTTTCTGGAACTGACTTTTCATCTATCATCTAAACAAATTTTTATCTTTTCATAAAATTTATTTAATCATGAATCACATTACATGAATGAACTAACTTTCATCGCAAATTTCAGTTTGCAAAAGTTTTGAATTGTCAGGTTTCATAAAAATTAGTAATTTTTGTCAACATTAATTCAATCAAGCTAAAACATATATAGAAGGACTTCTTTCAGGAAGATGGATGTTATAAAAGAACTGAAGCAGGGCTTCAACAGTAGCGCCATCTTGTTAGAAAACGTGTAAGACTGCCGAAGGTAAGACCACAGGTGATGTGAGCTTCTCAATTACGTAGTATTAATTCCCTGTCAATTAAATAGAGGGTCTGTTATACTTTATATGAAAGAAATTGCAGCAGGGAGATTTTTTATTTGTTTTTAAATCCCTAACAACTAATATGTTGTTCTCGCGTACAACAGCCTCTCTCTATGATTGGTCACTCAAAAAGAGGATCAATTTCCATTGGCAAAAGTTAGATGACTTGCGCGATATTTGGATAAGGCAAAAAGTACCTTTAAAAAATATTTTTATGAAAATCAAGATAAATTTTATATATATATATTTATTGTGTATATGATAAAATTATTTTTAAAATTATGGTTTTTCCTTGCAAAAACCTTTGTGACACTAGTGGTACACAAAAGTCATGGGTGGTCATTAGTCTGATCCTTTTGGTGAAACCAACTCCTAAGATGCGACGGGGAGAGGAAAATCCCTCCCCACTTCCTCTCTATTATTTTTATTATTGGATTAACATCCAATAGTTAAAATTTAACATATTATAACAATATTATTATAATATTAATTAAACAACAAATATATATAAGTAATTGGAAATTAATATGCATATATTACTTTTATAGATTTTTATTAAAATATTTTATAATTTTTTTATCCTGTGCTGTCTAATTATAATAATATAATAGTATTTATTTATATATAAATTAAAATTATTTATATATTATAATAATATTATTATTTTAATAGTAGAGATAACAAGTGGAGAGACGTGGAGAGAAAACTAAAGGAAGATGATATTTTTCGAGGCTCTAATAAGTTAGAAAGCCGTTTAATTTTAAATAAGAATTAACAAAATTTTAAAAAATTTTAAATCAGAAGTGTGAAATACGTCCGAAGAAGTGAGAGAGGAGGATACAATTTCACCGCACATGGGTGGACCCTTCCCTGAGCACTTTTAAAAGTTAATGTCCTTTGTCTTTCACTCTTTCGTTTATGCCTCGTGTATTCTTGTCTCCTCGCAGCTGTAAATCCGAGTCTTGATCGCCGGCAATACAAGGATTGGAATGGGAATTCTTCTCAAATACTTTTGGTTCAAACCATGATTTCATATTATTTTTTTAAAAGTAATACTGTTTGAATGATATCACACTCAAATTATGATTTTGAGGGGTACCTAAACAGGCCTCTAAATAACGATTGGTGTGTTTATTAGTTTTGCCAGTACATCCAACCAAGTTTACTCGAGATGGTCAAATTTATTTGATTTTTTTTTTTTTTGGGGTTTCTTGAAAGGCCTAGAAATGTTCCTCCTCCATGAGGTGGAAATAATCTTCTTCTTTTTTTTTTTAATGAAACACGTAACTCGAAATGATTAGTTTTCTTTAATGAATCGATAGTAAATTAGTAATAGCCATATAGTTTCGTTTATAGCCAATAAAATAATGGCTGAATGGTGTCGCTATTAAATGATCTTGAGTTGAGGGGTTATACTGATCTAATATTAAAAAAAAAAAAAACCACACACTTGATGACTTAAGGTTGGATGAAAAAATAACGTTTGATATGGGTTTAGAGGCAATTAACTTTAAAAGTAGTTGAAGTGACTCCTATTTAAGTTTCTAGTTTTTGACTTTGATCTGAACATTTGGAAATTACCCTTTTAGCATATCATCTAAATATATTTTTGTTAAACTAACTTTTTAACAAAAAAATTGTTCGCATATAAATCACATCACACATTAATTTTGATCTCAAACATTGGGTTTTAAAAGCGACGTAATAAAAGCTACTTATTTCAACATTCATCCCAATTCCAAACAAGGCGAAACAGAAGGATTTTCTCTCGGGAAGATGGATGCTTGCTACAAAGAACAGAAGCTGGGCTTCAACAATGGCGGCATATCTATCGTCAGAACGCATGGAAGAGGACCAGAACTAAGACGCCACATGTGACGTGAGCTTCTTAATTATTACTCTTCTGATCCTAAATATAAAAGCTTTTTATATGATAAATTACGCTAAAAAAAACCTAGGGATCGGAAGGAGTACTATTATTCTCTGTGAATTAAGTAGAGGGACTCTATCCGTGAAACTTCATGGAAACGACGCTGGGCTCTACAGAACGCGGATCAAGCACTTTCACAGTCTGTGTCTCGTATCTTTTATATGTCGCCTATATTCTCGTCTCCTTACAGCACTTGCAAATCCACTTACGTAGCTGCGAGGCGACGTTTCTGGGAATGGGAATCCTTCTCAACTGCTTCGGAGGCTCTGCTTCAACATCTAAGAAGCAACCTTCCACTTCAGTAGAATATCTCTGCCAGCGCTTTTCTCTCGCCCAGCTTCGAAAATCCACCAATGGCTTCAGCGAAAGCCACTTTCTGCGCCAAGGCCAGCATGGTCCGGTGTACAGGGGCTCCATCTCCATCAACGGCCAACTGAAAGATATTACAGTGAAGCGTCTGGGAGCCGGTTCCTCAACAGGTCTCACTCTGTACAAGAACGACGTCCTGTTTATGTGCCAGCTCCACCACCCGAATCTGCAGCCTCTGGTTGGATTCTGCGATGATAAAAATGAAATGATTGTGGTCTATGAGCATGCCCCAAACGGATCACTCCGGGATCTATTTGGGAGCAAGCCGCCAACGTTCTCATGGAAGAAGAGGCTGGAAATCAGCATCGGAGTGGCGCGTGGCTTGCACTACCTTCACGCCGGAACCAAACGCATCATCATTCATCGCAATATAAAATCGGCGTGCATTCTTTTGGGCGAGAACTGGGTTCCCAAACTCTCCTATTTCGGGTTCTCTCTAGCAGGACCCAAGTTCTCAGCAAAGGATATGAAACCCCTCAGGCTGGAGTCGGTCAAGGGCCCTAAGGGACACATAGCTCCTGAGTGCTTCGGCAGCAGTAACGTCACGTACAAATGCGACGTTTATTCATTTGGAGTAGTTTTGCTAGAACTCATTTGCGGAAAGACTTTATATCAAATCAGTGAGCTTGACGGGCGTCAACTTGAGAATACTGCAGATTTTTTCCATTTCACGCTGAGCTTGGTTGAGAAAGTACGTAATTTGGCAGGAACAGTAAGAGCTGAGGGAATTATTGATGAAACTTTAGTGGGACAAATAGCAGCAGAGTGCTCGAAATTGTACTTGGACATTGCAGAGAGTTGCTTGAGGGAGGATCATAATGAGAGGCCAGACATGGGAGATGTTGAAGTTCAACTTGAACGGCTATTACAGCTGCAAGAGGAAGCAGATTCTAGCAATGCTTCCTTGTGATTTAATTTCTCTTCTTGTTTGAATCTTTTCCCATACTTGTTTGGATCTCTGTCTCTCTGTTTGGTTTAAAGGAGGAGAAGAAAGGACTAACGAGAGAGATTTTAATATTACCTACCATCCCATTTGGATTAAGTTGTTGATGGGCCTTTGCAAACTTCGTAAGATGTTGAATAAAAAAATATGATTATAATTGATATTTAATATATAAAATTATGATTTTGTAATTATCTAAACTTTCTCATTTGAAAGATTATAATATCATTTTAGAAACTCCAATATATCTATAATAAAATTTATCAAAGTGTCTAATGAGAAAATAGTGAAATTTTATACATTAAAAAAGTTATATGTTGACTTTTATTAGGTGATAAAACTGATTTTATTATAGGAGGGTCGAAGATAAGGGATAATTTTTTTTTAAAATATGAAAAGGATAATTTAGTTAAAAATAATTTTTTCTTACTCCCCTTCCTCCATTAAATACCAAACAAAAAAGAAAGGGGAGCAACTTTTCTTACCTAACCTATCATTCCTTACTAGATTCTTAAGGCTTAGAGCCGGTAATATGGGCCAACCCGCCGATTATGGGTTGGCTCGTGGCGGGCCTGAAGCTTGGCGGGCTGGGCTTTTTAGGACCGCTTTCTGACGGGCTGGAATTTTTTCAACCCAGCCCGCCAACCCGCCAAATTTTGTTTTTTTGTTTTTAAACTTTTTTTTAATAAAACCTACTCAAAGTCTCAAATTCCTAACTATCTAAAATAAAACATGCAAATAGAAATTATCATAAATAAAACATGGAACCCATCCAAAGTTCCAAGTTTCAAGTTTCAAATATATTAAAATATTTAACATATGATTAAATGAACATGATATGTCCTTAATAATTTAACAAACATCTCAAATTAAAACATCAATCCAAATTAACACTACCACAAAGTCACAAACACAATGTCACTACACAAATCACTATCAAGTATCAACTATCAAGTGCTCAATCATCACTCATGAGCTAGGGCAAAGGCGCAAAGCAAAGACAAAGAGCAGAGAGCTTGGGGCTTGGGACTTGGAACTTGGGAGTTAGGACTGGCCGAGGGCGATTGGGAGACTGGGTTTGGGAGAGTTGGGAGTCTGGAAGGAGTGCGACACGCAAGCAAAATGTGAAAATGGGACCGTGTTGGTGTTGTCGTGTTAGATTATTGGACATGGACTGCTCACTATTGCGCTGTGGACTAGGCTAAGAGTGTAGAGACTAAGAGGCAAAGGGAAAAATTTGCCAAAAAAAAAAAAAAAAGGTTAAACGGGTTGGCCCGCCAACCCTGCGGGTTAGCCCGCCGCGGGTTTGGGCTTGGCGGTTATGGGCTCAAAACTTCCATTTTAAAATGGTCCTAATTTTTATCAACCCAACCCGCCACTTGTTGGCGGGTTGGTGGGTTGAGCCCATTACCGGCTCTATTAAGGCTTAACCTCTCATAATTTATTTCTGTATTATTATCGGTCTTTTCCTCCTCTTGATATCTTGGTTATAGTTGGACATGTAAGGATGTGGTTCAATCAGTGGTGGGAGAAGTTACTTTTTTCTAATCTGATTTTTGTAAAAATCAGATTATGTAAAAGTCAGATAGTATAATACGATTTATATTTAAACTGATCTTTGTAAAAAAAGTCAATTTGAGAAATTAAAACTTTTTGAATGATTAATTAAAAGAGTAAGTTTAGATGTAATTAAATTTTTAATAGAATATTTTTCTCAATTTTTCATGGATTTTATAAAGGGAAAATTGTAAATAAAGACTTTCCAATATATAAAATGGTAATCAGGGACCCTGAATTTGAAAAATTGCTGCAGAAAACCCGGTCTCAAATGAAAATTATGAAATGTTGATTAAAAGACAAAAATACCCACTGGCTTCGCATATTCTCTTCTGCTTTGTTCTCACAAACCCATATCCTAAAATCATACTTGCAGTTACTATCCCTCCCACTATATCCCTCTCCCTCTCCGCCTCTTTCCCAATCCGTTTTTGTCTTTCAAGATCCTCCAAAATGTTCCGACCTCATCGTCTTCATCATCATGGGTGAGAGGGACAAATGCCATCGACAAAACTAGAGGATGCGACCAGATCTGAGAGGAAAATGAGGTTGATTCTTCTTCTTCAACATTCAGCGGCAAGAGTCGAAAGGAGAGTCGTTTTCTCCTGTGAGAAAAATGGCAGTCTTGGGGGTAATCTTAGAACATTCCTGTTGATATATTTTTAATCTCTGCAATTTACAATCATTTGGGCTTATCTCTGTGTGGATTTCAGGCAAAGTGCATTTTTATGCCTGCTTTTGGTGAATTTTTTTTCCTTCGTAATTAATTTGCAATAAATTTTAGATTCATTTTCTAACACCAGATCAAGCTATGCAAATATATGATTCCTCATTTGGTTTCTGTGAGATGTTTGAAATCTTTGGCCAACAATATCATCAAGGACCAATACTTTGTAACTTGAGATCAAGGACCAATACTTTGTAACTTGAGATTTCCACTAAGCAGTAAGTTCTCTTTTTTTTAAAACTATGAAACTCTTGACTATGAATGATGTACATTTTTGGCGGTTCATAATTGACATTGATATATGCTGGAGGTGTTTTTCATGCAGTTATAAATTGAGAAACCTGCCAAGTATTTTGTTCTCAATTGGTTGGCTAATATGATTTGGTACTTGCAAACGTGTTAAATTGAGACTGGCACAACAAATATTGCATTTTATGTTCTTTGAAGAGTTGTGGGTGCAGATCAAGTGAGTCATATTTACAAGACATAAATTATATACATTAGATGTTTTATTCTGTCTGCTAATTCTCATCTCTTTTTTTTTTTTCCGATGACTTGCTAATTCTCATCTTTTGGAGTGGAGGAGAGTGGCCAAAGTCGGTGATCTCATCAATTTTGAAGTAGAATTCCAGTAGAAACTTGTTTTTTATTAAAAAGCAAAATTCCAATATGACAAAAATTAGTGTTTTGACAAGGGGGTGATCGAACCAAGAGTGATATTGTATTATGTGCTGGGCAAAAGAGTAACCATTGGATTTAGAGATCTGGAGAAGGAAAATAGAAAGAAAATTGCAGGCTTCACTTGACTGTAAAAAATGTGCTTCTTTGTACTGGATTTAAAAAATGAGAAGAGAATTTCTCTATTAATGAGTCATAGATGAAGAGAATATTCCTTAACTCATACCTAACTATGCATTCTATTGTGCATTCAAAGTAAATAATAGGTAAACTCCAGATTTATGCAATGAAACATTTAAGATCGCACTTCGATCAACAACATCATTCCTTTAAACAAATATTCATATTCACTTGTTAGTTTTAAGTAAAGATTTATTTATTTTAACTAAGTTATTAGCTAACATGTTTGTAATTAAAAATAACAAATTAGTTAAAATAACAAGTCTTTACTTAAAAATAACAAGTTTAATATGTGAATTTAACAAGTTTATAATTGAAAATGATAAGTTTGTTTGAAATAACAAGTATTATCTTGAGAATAACAAGTTCAATATGATGGTTTGACAAGATTATAATTGAAAATAGCAAGTTTATTAATACAAATAACAAGTTTGTTAAATAGTTGGGAATAACAAGTTCAACATGAAGATTTGACAGGTTTTATTTGAAAATAACAAGTCTATAAATGAAAATAACAACTTTGTCAAGTAGCTAGGAATAACGAGTTCAATATAAGAATATGACAAGTTTATAATAAAATAAAAATAAAAAGTCTATAAATAAAAATAACAAATTTTTTAAGTAACTAGGAATAACAAATTCAGTATAAAGATTTGACAAGTTTACAATTGAAAGCAACAGGTTTGTTAAGTAGTTGAGAATAACAAGTTCAGCATGACAATTTAACAAGTTTATATTAGAAATAACGAGTTTGTTAAGTAGTTGAAAATAACAAGTTTAATATAAGAATTTGACAATTTTATCAATAGAAATAACAAGTTTGTTAAATAGTTAGGAATAACAAGTTCAATGTGAAGATTTGACAAGTTTATAATTGAAAATAACAACTCTATAAATGAAAATAACAAATTTGTTATGTAGCTAGGAATAACAAGTTCAGTATAAAGATTTGACAAATTTATAATTAAAAATAACAAGTTTATTAAGTAATTGAGGATAACAAATTTAGTATAAGTATTTGACAACTTAATGTTAGAAATAACAAGTTTAGTATAAGAATTTGATAAGTTTATAATCAGAAATAACTAATCTAATTAACATTATTTTTACAATTTAGTTGCCATTAATAAATCTTGGATGCCAAATAGCAATGGTAGACTTATTATTTTAATTAACTTGTTAATTAACAATTACAAACTTGTTAACTAATAATTCTAAATGCTTCCAATAACAACAGCTCCCCTAATTCTAAGCACTCGCTCACTACCAGCGTGTAGTTATCAAACAAGAACCTGGAAGTGTACTAGGCGACCTTGAAATGGGAAACAAACAAATTGGGCAATTAATATTCAACCTGGTAAGTCTTAAACATAAAGACTGGTCATTTAACAGGAGGCTGTTATCATCAAACTCGTCCTTGAACATCTTCTAAATAGATTTCCAATCCAAACCATCGATATCCTTCCCCCCAAAGCCGTACACATTTATGGATTGGCTTATTAACTACTGATTCTCAAAGGAGTTCTTAAAGAAGGCACAACAAAAACCTTATATGCACTCTAAATCAATGAAGCCAAGTCTATAAGTAGTGCTTTCTGTGATTTGGGTTAACCAGGGAGTGCAGTCAGAGAGAGGATAGAAACAGACCATGAAACTAATTTTTTTTTAAACAAATAAGTAACATGTATATATTTTTTATAATTGCAAATTTTTATTTACCGAGACAGAGCTCATGCCTAGAGAGAGAGGTTGGCTATGATGGCCGAAGGGAGTGATGCCAAGGCCTCAGGGAGTGGTTCGGTTCAAGGACAAGACAAACGTGGAC